TAAGTAAAGTAGTAAAGATAATTAGATTAAAATCTTAAGTAATATATTATTAATAGAGATATATTACTTAGAAGAGGATAAAGAAGAAGAGTAATATAATAAGAGTAATATAAAGTTTAACTATATATATAATTTTCTTATATAATATATTTAACTATAGAAAAGTCTACTTATAGCTATAGATTTAATACTACTACTATATATATATAAAAGCTATAGAATTACTATAATTTTAGATCTATAAATAAGATAATCTATCTTAATACTTCTTAGTTTAATATAGTTAAAGTCTCTAACTATAATTAAAGTCTCTAACTATAGTGATATATTATTATTATAAATTATCGCTATAAGTATTAATAATATATTTCAGCTACTATATAGGTAAAATTGATATATATATATAGCTACTAATAAAAATAATAGATAATAATATATTTTCTATGTTCTTATACGCTTATAGCTGAACTTTTTGTAATCTTACTAGCTATAATTATAGATCTAATAATTTCCTACTATATAATAATATAATTAAGATCTATTATAATTATATAATAAAGATTTAGATTACTTATTAATATTTAATATTTATAGCTTATCCTCCCTTTTATAGTTTAATATTATTAAATATATACTCTATCCTATTAAAGTTAATAAATAAATAGTAGAAATAGCCTTTAATCTAAGGTAGATAATACCTAATCTTAAGTTTATAGTTATAACGCAGCCCCCCTATAAAAAGACTATAGTAAAATTCACCCTATATGTAGGTATAATTCTAGAAACACTATATAGGTACTTTAACCTATACCCTCTACTAGTTAAGGAAAATAGTATAGAAACCTTATATATTCCTACTAGTAGGCAAACCCTCTAAATATCACTATATAAAGTTAAACGCACGCCCTAGCTGAATAGACTAGCAGAATAGTAATAGCGCTAGCTATATAGTATAAGGCTAGTAGTAGTAGCACTATATATAGTAAGGCTAATTATATTAAGGCTAAATAGGTTACTAAGGCTCTTATAGCTTAGTAACGCTACTATAAGAGAGATAACTCCTTAACTAAAGAGGTTATTATAAGAGGTCCTCATAGCTAAAAGTATAAAAACTCTACTACTATAGGTAGGGCTTTATACCCTTCCCTCTTCCTCTTCCTTACCCTATAGCTTATAATAAATCCTTTATAATATCTATACTATATAAAGCACTTAAGTTTACTAAGTATAAGCTAGGTAATACCCTTATCTCTATAAATAATATATAATATATCTAGAATAACTTTAACCTTAGTATATTTAATAAGAAGCTCCTATTTAAAAAATAATCTAAAAAAGACTAAAAGTATATAGTCCTAATAGCCTTATTAATAAGCCTCCTAGAAACCCTTATAGGTAGTAATATTATCCCTCTTACTAAGAAAACCTTAGATAATATTAATATAGAGTTTAACTATATCCTTAACTACCTTAATAAGTAGGACTTCTTCTCTAAAGCACTTAAGGGTACTAAAGAGGATATAAGCCTTATATAGAGATTAATAAGTACACTTTATACTAAATAGAGAAAGTGTTACTAATAATAGTATAGCTAATAGTAGATAGTAAAGCAGTAATAGAGATAGTATTTAATAGTAGTATAGGTGATATATAAGAGAGAGGATAGGTTAATAGTTTAGTAATCTGCAGTAATTAAGTAATTAAGTAATTATAAACTATATTATTATTAAAGTAAAGTTAAAGATCGTGAGGTTATCTAATATAACTAATATGCATATATAAGTGTAGCTATAGTTAGGAGAGCTATAATTATATAACTAAAAGCTATATATATTATTAAGAGGCGTAGAGTTAGGAGGTCTATCGCTCTAAGCAGGTAAAAATCACTATAAACAGCTAGAGGCTATACCTAATCTTTATAATATAGTTATATAGATATTCTATAAAATCCTAAGTATTATTCTTATTATTATTCTACTTTAAATATATCTTCCTAATATATTACTTTAGATTACTAAAATACTCCTTAATAAGGTTAAAGTTTAATAAATATAGAGGTAAAAACTTAAAATTAATACTTAATACTTAGTATAAATCCTTAACTTTAAGTATATAATAATAAGAGAGGTTATCTATAATAATAATAGAGTTTAGTTTTAGAAAACGCCTATACTTTAGGATAAAGTACTCCTATAACTAATAAAAAAACTTATTACTATTAGTTATATTATAATATATAGTTAAATATAAGATACTACTTAATATAAAAACTAGTAAGATTTATATATAAAAGTTTTAAAACTAATTAATCTCTATAGTTTAAAATATAATAAGCCTTTTTAGTACCTATTTAGTTCTCTATATTCTAATATCTTTATTAATACTAGATTTATTAATAAATACTAACTAATTAAAATAATATTATTATATATAGTATAAATATTTATATTATA